CGTTCACCTATCCAACGCGACCCGGCGTGGGCGTGTTATTTATAGCGGTGCGCCTGCCGTGGGCGTTCATCTGCAACGCTGGCATTCGCCCATTTACGCCGCGGCTCCCGTTGAAGCGAGGTGCACCGTTTGGCCGATACCTCCTATCACGGAAATTCAAGTTTCAAAATTCGGTCAATGTGGTTCAGGATTGGAGTACCAAATCACGCCACGCCATAGAATTGTATCTGCTTTTTCGTCTTGGTTGTGGTGTGTCGTTGCCACTTTCTTGTGACGTATTGCTATGCAAGTATTCCTTAGAACACTCCCAGGATACTGTCAGTTTCAGAATCCTGCGCGAATGCAGGTTGGTATCGCTTATCTGAAGGGAGTACATGGGTTCCGTAGCCCTTAGCAAGCTAACAGTCAAAGGAACACGACACAAAGGGAAGGTTGCAAATGCAGGGTGTAGGACTGCGTGGGCTACAACTGTACGAGTACACTATCTTATCTTACCAGGAGGTTTTTACTCTCCTGGTGGGCACGGAGGCGCTAATCTTCAAACGCACTCCCGGGTGCACACACCTTAGGTAGGCTTCTGGATAGCGGCACAACATCCGGGAGCCTTCTCAATTAAGCCTGGGTATGGCTATTCTACAAACGCAGACCTACTTACCGCCCCTGGCTAACACTTAAGAGTTTAATTATGCGACACTCACAGTGCGCTGGGACGAATCCCTATACAATAAGCTATGCCTTGAGAATCGGGCATGCCACGACGAAGTAAAGACAATGGCAGGGCAGTTGCATTTCCGAATTTGAGATTCGTATCCTAGACTGAGCATGTAGAAGAATACTAACTTCACTGTTACGCATGGGATTGCCGCAGGGCAGGGTGAAGTTGATTAATTTCAAAAATTAACCATTTTACCGTACCAAACAAATCAAAATGTTACCATAATAAATTTCAATAAACGGGAGGTCTTAATTGGGTCTTAACATAAGTAGATATCACCGAAATCCGGGTTCATGCTATAAAGGCAAGTTTGTATTTCTAAAAAATCGTGTTTTCAGACTTTTCGAGTTTAAATCGAATGATTTATTTTTGCGAAAAGTACTTTGCATGTCTCCCGTAGAACATTACCAAATTCTCCCAACCTGAGACATGTGAGGTGTGCATTGTAATCGGGGCCAGCGGCGGGCTTCGGCCTCGAGCTGCCATGCGCGTGGGGCGACGCGCATCGCGAGACCCTGCCCACGCCTGGCCTTATGCGTCCCCGCCCGCCCACCCCGTTCGCGCGCGGGATCTTTACTTATCCGTTGGGTGCAGCGATACCGTCACCGGCCCGTTCGCCTAGCGGGCCACCGTCTAGCGCCACGGCACTCGGGCGCACGCATTTAGGGCCGGTTTCACCAACAGGAATCAAGATGATGATCCCGAGTTGATCCGGATCAACTTCGTTTGATCCCGTTGTACGTTTCTCTACGCACTTCACACAATCAACATGACTGACTCGGATCAAATTTGACTCGCAAATTGATCGTCGCCGAGCGGTGGATCACGGCCAGATCAGGAGTTATTTCTCGTCTTGGTCGTCTAGCTATTCCAGGTTTCCGTGTTTTTTAAGAAACATCTGTAGTTGGACTTAATTCGGTATGGAAGTATTCGTTAAGAAGTAGGATTACGCGTAATATTTGTTGAGCAAACGTGTTTTTTAAGATAGTATTGTAAATAAAAAGTAGGGTTTAACACAAGTGAAAGGTTAGAATTCTCGTATTGGGAAGTAAAATTTAAATATATTTTGGCTTCAGATTAATGTAATTATAAGTAGCATTAGTAAAAAAGCATTTTGGGTATCTGTATTCCAATTGACGTGGGACAGTTTATTGAATACTTTTTTTTAGTGTAGTAATACTTTCAATTTTTGTTCTTGTTAGGGTAATTTGTGTCGTGAAAATAGAGTATGTTTTTCGAATGTGACTCAATAAAATATATTATTATTATTATTATTATTATATATATTATATTATTAATGAAGTCATTGAAGATTTATTGCGGGGAGAGACACCACGAGTAATTCCTAAAAGAAGCGATTATTTTGAAATGTGAGAACGAGCATTAAAACTTTCTTTGTATTTACTCATTAAGCTTTCGAGTAATCTCATTTAACTGGAGAGAAATTGGGCGTAGAGTATGCATTCTTTCCAACGTCAGTGAATCCATCACCGAACAAGAACACCACACAGACGGAACGAAATGAAATCAAAACAACTCTTTTCTACAGCTGACCGCGAGAATACCCACCAATGCATTGCAAAATTGTTGCCAACCGCGCATTTTCACGACTGCTCAGGAATCATGGGATCCGGATTATCTTCGATGTTCTCAAAAGTGTGGGAAACGCACAGGGATCAAGTCGGCCTTGACTCCGCGGATCAAGGATCACGAAACTCGGATCAAACTACGAATTTGATCCTGGTTGGTGAAACCGGCCCTTAGTGTGACGAGACCCCCGGCGCTGTCACCTACCTCGGCCTTTGCGCAAGACCTGTCGGGGGGCGGGGGTCCTCTTGAACAGGAGCGGGAGCAAAAGCGAAAGCAATCTCTTTCCTCCGGTCGCGCGCACGCTTGACGCGTGTTGTACGACTTCCAGATTAAGGTTCTGTAGTTCGGTATTATATTGTGATATTGTGTTAAAAAAAAAAGAAATTGGTGATTAATAAAAAATTATGTTGGAAGGAATTTGGTGGTATACTTTTCGTGTAATACAGTTTCTAATTTTGTTCAAACAATTTTCTCAAACACTGCACCAATTTTTTGGATTAAATATCGTGAATATTTGGATTAAATACGTTGAATATCATATATGACGATTAAGAGAATGGTCTTAAGAGGATGCTAACTTATACGGTCCAGTAACATACATAGGAGTATTGTAGATTTTGAGGAGGGGGTTAATTTAGACGGTCGTCAACTTCAGTAAATTGGACGTTCCCCAATAAATGTTAATTGGTTATAAATGTTCTAGCTTACATTCGATGGCAGATTGGTGGTCTAATGCACCTTTACGAAATATATTTACAATTATTTGGTGTATATTTAGAAGTGGGATAATGAAATGGTTTGTTCTTTATTGGGTGGCAATAAGATAGTCATTTTACTTTTTACTAGCTTAAATGGTGGCTGCGGGTACTCTCGTGTTGATGTTCGTGACCTATGAAAGTTGATTTTAAAAAAAGCAACAATAAAGTTGTCTAGATCAGCTGTCCTCAGAAACAGCTTCGTGGAAAAGTATCGATTAAAGACCTTTTTCAAAAATGTGGGTTTCATTACATTAATAGATTTAACTATCGCCAGTATATTTAATCATATCCTAAGGGTTCACATTGAGCCGGATAGGCAGAATAGGAATCCACAGCGGTTCAGCCCTTTAGGTTCCTCACCCCCCACCCCCACCCCACTCAAAAACGTTTTAGAATTTTCCCAGAACATTTAATAAAGACGCTGGTAAAAAATCAAGCCAATCGTCTCGTGTGCGTGTGTGTGTGGGGGGGGGCGGTTGATATGCGCCCTAGCTGATTCGAAAACACGTTTGTGGTGGAATATCTTAAAATATTCTGCATGGATCCGGATAAAAGAATTGATATTCCCCTTCACGAGACCTCCACGCGTCGACACCTCGTTTCCCTGAATTGGTGGACAGGAAGTGGCCTCCACCGTGACCGACGGATGCAGGTTACTCCATTACTATTCCACGTTCTATTTGCATGTTCATGTGTTGGCAGTCTTTCCTTGCGGGTATTAATTCTTGGCAGTTTGGAATGGAACGCGCCTGCAAGAGAGCCTTGCCGGGTACTCACATCGCTCTCCGCTTCGCATTTCCCCTGGCCGTGAAGGTCTGCGTAGTCGAATAAACAAGAGGGTTTTGGCGGAAGCGACGAGGGGCAAACCTCAGTTTATCGCTGCGTACGTTGAGGGCTTGTCCATACGAATACAGGAAGTCTGACGGCGACCGCGGCGGAAACATCCTGCAAAATAAACGGAGCCCCCAGGGGAGGAGTCGCATGACTCAGAGGAAGCGCCGCACCGGCAGTAGCAAATAGACCCGTCATAGGGATCACAAGTAGCCAGGACCTTCTACGACGCTCGCAATTGCTTATTTGCGCGCTTCAAGAGGTCGATGGATGTCGTTTGAGCGTACGAAGTAGAAAAAAAAACTGTCTGAGAAATCGTCTGCGGAAACGTCTCTTGTGTCTGCGAGACTCATCTCAATGTGGAACACTTAAGTATTCTATCAGAAACCTCGCAGTATATGAGGCAGGCATCCCGCCATCCGAAATTAATTCCAGGAAGGAAGGCGGATTCCACAAACATTTTTCTCCGGTTTTTGTTTCATTTCATCGTTTGTTTGATTTTATCTTTGACGTACATAACACTTTCACTGGGGGACACATTAATTGGATTTACGTTTTTTTTTTAAAAACCCACTATGTGGAAAATCAGCTATTTGTGAAACGTTCGAGGAAATTCGATGATCCTTTGCCTTTGTGACTGAAGCGGTGAGACCATCGCGATTGAAAGTTCCTTCCAAATACTTTCTCATTGCCTTATAGTTTTGCTTTTATTTCAACGGAAAATCTCATAATTATTAGCTTTCAGGGGCGCTAAAGAATATTTAAAAATGCAATGATGACGAGAATGAGTGTCGCCATTGCCACTCTCAATTCGTTATTCTGTGCCGATCATTTATAGATATAGTTACCAAGAGTAAGTATATTTGTAAATGTTCACGGTTTCATTTATGGAGTGACTTTTATCAATTAATTTTATTGAAATCATCAAATGACCGAAAGGTTTCAAGTTGAGTAAAATACATTAGAATGGTGTTATAGAAGAAGAATTTCAAGTTTTAAGATCAACGATAAGCGAACGAGTTCCTTCCGATACGAAAACGTACTCCTCCGTCAGCGACAACTTGCGAATGTTATTAAATTATCCATCGAACGAATTGCAGCGTACGATGCCGAATTTCGGAGAGATCCCGCAAATCAGCGGAGTGAGTCCTTTTTGTCGTATCGGTCCCTCTCGCAAGGGTCTCCTGCAACGCGACATCGCTCTGCGCATGCATTCAATGGAGGCGGCGGCTGCGCCCGAAGGCGCGGTCGAATCGTATTTTAAACCCGGGCCGTTGTGTTTACCGCTAAATGCAATGCTCTCGGCGGTCATTGCCAGAGCGAGGACGGCGCTTGGCGAGCCGGCTCGGCTGCGCCAGGGGCGAAACCCCCGCGCGCGTGCGCCGCCCCCCC